GGATTTGATGATAGACTTTTAGGTTGAAACCTATGCATGATAATATCTAGGAGTTCCCTGTTCAAACCTCAACCATAGGATGAATCCATGGCATGATAACAGTAGGACTTGATAGTCTCCCTCCTAGTTGAGCCATATTTTCAGTAGTTTCCCGAACTACGTTTGCTCTGATCTTTCATACCAGATGAAAGTACGTAGGCATAGGATGCGATATCCTAGCGAGCAACCTTTCCCCCCATAATCCCGTAGTTAGCCGAACTACGTTGACTCTGATTTCTCATTCTCTGATGGGAATACGTAGGCATAAAGCGCGACGCTTTGCCGAGTCATTTTTCTTTTCTTTTTCAGCCAGCCTTGATAGGTAGATAGATTATAACCAACCCGTCCAAGTAAACAAACAAGCGAGGATCCCGTCGAGTACGACGGACGTGAGGGGTGCTAATACCTTCCCCTTGCGTAACCGACTCCCGAACCCAGACAATGGTTGCGATGACCTTGTCTTACCCTTATTCGTCAGGTTTTTCCGATCGTTTCCTTTCCCGCTCTGAGGGATAAATAACGAAAGGTGGCGACTCTTCTGTCATGCCGGCACCTTATTTTCGCGCAAGCGACACATGTCCTCAAACGTTTCAGCATAATTAGCCACTGTCATACTACCTTGTCTAAACTGTTGAAACTCAAACTCTTTATGATTCCTCAAAGAGCTAGGAAAATACTTATCCAGAAAAGTAGCCTTAAAATGCTCCCACACCTTAAGAACTCATTGATTGGTCATCAGTATTGAAGCACTTTCCCACCACCTCATAGCGGGACCTCTCATCATGTGAGAAGCAAACACCACCTTATTCTCCTTACTACAATGCACTATATGGAGAGAAAAAAACTTACATGCCAGACACCCTTTCATGAGCCTTCATGGGATCTAGTCCAGCATGAAACTCCGGAGGATTCATGCAAAAGAAATCTCAAAAACTTCCACCTGTAACTTCTTGTGGAATCCCTTAAGGGTGAAGACCACCGCTCAACTGTTGCATCATCTACTGCATGAATTGGTTTTGTTCCTGCTGCATCTCTTCTACAAACTGAGGCCACTTAACACCTTCACTGCCACTTGGTGGATCCGAATCGGAAGTCTGAGTTTGGGGCCTACCACGACCTCTCCGTCCATCAACCATGACCTTAAAAGCCATACAATTTGAATCAAGTTCATCAGGATCAATACTATAAATATAACATCCTGGACAATGATGATAATACACATATGAGGCAGAAAGAAATACTTATAATATTTCATATCTAGGTCGAGGATATGACCCGCTCTGATACCAATTGTAACACCCTTATGAAATACATATATAGAATTATACATATTATACATAGTTGCAAATTTGGTATTGAAATACAAAAGTTCTTAGTGACACATTATACATATTATATGCCCAAAATAAAACAACTAAAAGTGGCACAATATATACAAGATGCTCAAAATAAAACTAAGAACTAGATCATTATAAAATGATCTCAAAATAATCATCTTCACAGTGGAAAGTCATCCAAAATGTAAGATAAGTAAGGATATCATGCTACTTTGTCCTACCATTTTCCGAAACAGAGCCTCCTGAAAAATAATTAATAAATATGGGGTGAGATGATAATCCCAGTGGATTCTCTATCTTATGGATTCTCTTGCCTCTACAAGGTTCTAAATAGGAACTAGCTCAAGTCATGAAGAGGGAATAGACTTGATTTCTCAATCTTTGCACTATATGGCAACATGTTGCTTGAGTTCAAAACTCAAATCATCACTAATTGAAAACCATACCAAGCATCTTTCCCCATCCGATCTAACGTCTAGGACTCTTGCCACGGGTCACAGATCCTTATATCATACTTTGACATACGCATGGACTTCGGATTTTAAGGGACTCCTCACTTCCTATGGGACTCCAAACCCATTATAAGTTATGAAGAAGAGTTCTTCTTGTCCTAGGCTATAGTTTTGATGAAGACAAATACATAAACAAAAATAAGAGTCAAAGCTTGAAGATTAGAGCAATCAAGTTCAAATTATCAAAAAGCTTTGGAAAATAAATGGAAGAATCAAGATGGTTGAATATGCATTACAATTCAAGTATATATATATTTATTACTCGTAAAAACAATGAATATTCATCTTAAACCTTTCATGAATCTTTTAAAATTATTTTTAAATCAACTATTTTGTTTTTGGTAAATTATGGCATTTTAAACCTTCGTAATAGCACTTTAAAACCGACACAATTTTCTCAAAATGTAGAAATACTTTAATTTTTGAAAAATTGTCATGTGTAATCGATTATCCACTTTAGATAACCGATTACCACTGAACCAGTGACACTTTTTCATGAAAATTTTGTTGTAAATGATTTTTTAAAGCATTCTTGAACCATGGCATCTTTTCATGTATTTGTACACTTTTAGAAAAGTGTTAAGGCATTATATTAACCATACTTTTCAGAATTCAAACTCATCTCTGTTTCATAGCAATTCAAAACTTATATTCTCTCATTTTCAAAATCAACTGTTCTTGGCGTAGCTTTTTGTTAAAACTTTTGCACATCAATTTCATTATATTTTCAAATAGTTTCAACTACATAAATCATTGAGCACTTATACTACATATTAAGAATTGACTACTCGATAGAGAAGATCAATTCTAGGAATTGATATACATTATTATACAAATTCAAACACTTGTAAAAATTCAGATTGTTTTGATTTCCTTGTTGTCCAGGATTGTTGGAAGCAATAGAGTGAATAAGGGAGGATTGTTCTCTTGTTGCACTTTGTAAAGATCATAAGGGGATTGTCCTTATTTATTGTGTTGCTTATGTTAGAATATTGTAGGACAGGTCTTGGTGGAAGACTTGTACAAAGATCTGAAATAATGGAAATCTCTCATGGGGAGTGACGAGACTGAAGTACTCTCGGATTGTGAGAGGAACCAGAATATATCTTTGTATTATTTACTTTCCGCATCTATTTTTTAGCATATTTATTTTAATATAATTTCTGAAAAATAACAAAACTAGTGCTAATGCTTCAAACCGAAAAAAATCCAATAAATCTAATTCACACCCTTCTTAGAGACCGCGTATAAACTAACACAAGACTCTACCTGTATGGGACTCTAACCTACTCATGGGACCATCTTTTTTGGGACTCAAACCAAGGTCAAAGTAATGACACAAACATCCCAAAGGAACTTTACATAAGCATCACTCTTAGGACGACACAAATAGGGTGTTGCTTCTGATTACGTGAGCAATAAAGATATCGTGATTGTATTCGACAACCACAAGGCTACCCCATCACTTTAGCATTCACAATAATGTCACGTGTTACATACAATTTACATATAATGCTCACCTTTCAACTAGACAACTACTTGTCAATGACACATATCTAGGCATCATCTGCACAAGCATTGCCATCTATGTTATTCATCATATCCTAATTATCTTACTAATTCATTTCACTAATTGATATTTTTTTATGGGAGTAAACTAAATGGGTAAACTAAAATATTTTTTGTGGGTCCAAAGTGTTTTGTAGGATTTAAAAAATTTATAGTTGATTTAAGTAGTTTTTATTTTAATGATGGTTGTCTATAAGAAACCAAAACTTGACCCCACTATTTTCAAATATCATGTCATTACTTTAATGCTGTTGGAATATTTTATTAATTAAATAAATAATATTATAATATATTTCACATAGTTAACGTTAACTATATAGATAATAAGAACTAAATTTTAGTTCACTTAGATGTCATGTCAGCTCTACTATAATGCAAATTTTTTATTACTAAGATAAGCTATACAAAATTTTGGTTTAACAACTATGCACTAAAGTTGCTCTTATATCTATAATATCTATACAAATTAAAGAAGTGGAAAGTAGTAAGGTGAATTTGACTATTCAAAAGAAACTTTGAAAGAGTGACATAAATTCAAATAATTGTCTGTTCTTCATCCTAAATATAAGATAGTAAAAAAATTTCAAATAATTGTCATCTTAAATCAAAGATAAAAAATAAAAAAAGAAAGAAAGAAAACTGTTTTCATTTTAAAACAAATGATAAAAAAAAATTGTAAAAATTATTGATTCTTCGTTCTTCCTAAATAAAATATAGAAAATTTAAATAATAGTAGGTTCTCCATCCTAAACAAAAGATAGAAAAATCAAATTATTTTTAACACTCCATCTTCGATATAAGATAAAAATAGTTTGTTTAACAAATCGTAGGGAAGTAATAGAAGTGTTTGAATATGGATTGGTTTAAATTGACTCTAGAAATCGATCAAAAGAATCAAAATTTGAATGAGAATAAATATTTTTATATATTTTTATGTCATTTTATTTAACCTGTTGTGAATGAATATAACTTTTTTAATTAATTTTAAAAATCATGTCAAAAAAATCAAACGGAAAACATACATTTATATTTTTATATTAATAAGATGGATTACATTTTATCTATAATTAGTTGTATTTAACTACTTAGTATAATATGTTAACTCAATTTAATTTTTTTTATTGTTTTATGTGATTCAAACATAATTGTTAAATTTTACTCTGTACAATTTAATTCTAATATTTGTTTTTTTATCAAATTTATTATTAATTTATATAATTTCCTTATTATTATTATTATTATTAAAATATTATAATTTATAAATTTAAATATTCAAAAACCCAATTAAATTTTATTTTAAATATTCAAAATTATGATCTTTGAAAAGCCTGATCAAACTTAAGAACTCAAACCACATATACTTTTAAATTTTAAAATCAAATAAATTTTTACTTTAAAATCTATATAAACAACAAATACCACATAAATGATTTAATGCAACACATCTAAACATATTATAAATAATAAATGATGTTCTTCTATTAAGAAAGAAAACATTTATTTCATTAATCCAACATACATCACAACACGCACCACAATTAATTTACTCTTTTGGAATTGTTGGATGATTAAGTGGTGCTAGAGATAGAGATGGATTTTCAAAAGCACATGTACCAAGAAAACAAAAGCTTCCAATAGGACAGACCCTTCCACACGCACCACAATTAAAAGGACTAAAATATGTGTTTACACACAAACGGTTACAACATTGAAAATTAAATGGACAAACTAATCCACAAAGTCCACAGTTGTATTTGTCTGAAGTAAGATCTACGCATCGATTTCTACAACACACACTTCTTGGTACAATTTCTCCGGCGTTACATATCAATGGTCTTGTGGTACAATCAATGGGTTCTAGATCATTCATACCAACTTTTTTAGCAACAATGTTGACCATAGAGTTTTTGTTCACTTCACCATTTGGAATTGAAATAGAACTTGAATCTCCCTCTATTTTGATTAATAACACTAAAAGCAATGTCACAAAAATCGCTTGCATTGCTAGGGTATTCATTTTGAAAAGTTGTGAGATATTTAGGATTTTGAGACCTATATATATAAGTGCTTGGTTGATTATGTGAACATATATAACTTTTCTAAGAAGCTTGAACAACGTGTATGGCATAAAAATTGTGTTCTATTCCTATGGGCGGTGGTCAATGGTTTTATTTTTTAGAGAAATTAAATTATATCTCAATGTAAGAATTTGGAGTTTTTGGGACAACATTTAAATTATTCATCTTATTTTTAATTAATATATTTAAATATAAATTATTTAATTTTTAAATTAAATTTAGTTAAATTAATTTTACAATATTGTTTAAATTTTTTAAAAAAATTACTTTGATATAAAGAATTCGAAGAATATTCTTTAAAAAAATACAAAAATAAATTATGATTAAAAAAAATTCTAATAATACATATTTAATGAAATATTTTGATAATTTGTATATTTTTTATATGAATCATATGTTATATCACATAATTGTATAAACTAATCTTTCAAGTTCAAAATAATTGCAATTAGCACGCTACAAGTTTTGCGGAAAATTTCTCTTATAAAATTCAAATATTTTCAAAATTAAATTTAAATTAGGATCATAACAAAAATGAATGACATTAATTTTATTGAAAAACGTAAACATCATAAATTTTATTATTTTTTTTCTATTAAAAGTTACTTTCTTGTATAAAAAAATGACTTTCTTTAAAGCTTATCAAAATAAGTTTTAGCAAACGTTATTTTTATAATAAGTTTATGCAAATACGTAACTATAACCTCAAGAAGAAATTAAGAATATTTATACTTTTATTTGAAAATAACTTTTGTAAAAGTATGGTCAAATCACATATTCTTGAACAAATTAAAATACAAATTTGCAATTTGAGCTTTTGAATAGAACCCGGAGTTTTTGTTGTCATCAAACTTAAAACACATAACGTAAACATTGTTGCATGGTGAATTTGTTTAGTAGCTTAATATTTAAGTAATTATAAAACCTCAAAATAAGGTAACTTACTAGCCTAAGATAGGTTGTAAAATTTGAATAAATACTAATTTATGTGAAAAATGCCTTGTTTTTTTTAAGATAATAACTTTGCTTAAAAGTACTAATTCACATGAAAAATGTCATGTCTTTTATAAAGATAATACCTATCCGAGAAAATTATATATCAAATTATTATAAATTAAAAAGTATGTTGTTTACGCAACACGGTTGTTAGTTGATTTACGCATTGCAATGCACATACTTGATTTTATCTCAGAAATAAAATATTTTTTTTAAGGGGAGGAATATTAATTTGACATAGAATATATATATATATATATATATATATATATATATATATATATATATATATATATATATATATATATATATATATATATATATATATATATATATATATATATATATATATATATATATTTATATAATTTCTTAAATTAAATTTTTTACTAGGTGTAACAATATCATTTACAACTTTAAGATATATGTAGTTGTATTAAATCTCATACTCAAACATACTTCATTTACATAATTTACTCATATTAAAAATAAAAAACAATCTCACAAATATTTTGTATAAACTATATACATATAATAATAGTATTTCCATTAATTAAAAAATTTATTAGTTGAGTTAGATATATTTTATTTGAAAAATTATGTAATATAAACTACTTTAAATTACATCGATTGATTAGAAAGATCTATATTGTGTCAAAATTATAAAATAATAATTGTATACTTTGTAAGTTGTATGACAAAGGAAAACTAAGTCTTAGATCAGATATGAAATTGAATGGAAAATATTATCATCACAAAAGGTTTGGGCCGGAATTTTCAAATTTAGATATATCATAAAAAGATTATCCTAGAACCTATCACATAAAATCTTCAATTTGATCTCAGATAAAATTGTATTATACAAGAACAATAAAAAATACTAGATGAATAATCGGCACAGGAAAAAATATTAATTATTGAAAGTGTAACATTATGGATGAACCCATAAAGAATATGGAAGAGCAATAACCACACAAAAGAAAAAAATAGCATTCATATTTGATTGGCTTTTAACCATGGTCAAATAAATTCCCTTTTCTTTTCTTAGATGTCCATTTTTCAAAGGAAAATTTAACCTATAACCTGCCACATAAAATCTTCAATTTGATCGAGTATAAAATTTTAGTACATAAGAATAACATAAAATATTTTTTTACCCCTTAATTATATGCTTGACTGACCACCCTGTATTAACACTCTTCCTAATCCCTTATTAGAGGCATAACAAAACACTTTATAAGGCTTATTAGAATTAGGAATAATCAGAATATGAGCAGTCGTCAACCTTTCTTTCAAACTCATAAAACTTTGTTCACAACTCGAGTATTAGAATATTATTAATAATTCATATTTATTTAGTTGTACTATTTTCTTAGCCCCTAAGTTTGTTAGAGGGTATTTTAGTATTTATCTTATTCTAGTAACCCTAGTTTTAGCTTATAAATAGGGTGACAATCATTGTAACAAATCATCATGTTTTGTAGCCGTCATTCTCTTATTAGTAATATTTCCTATTTCATCATTTATTCTATCTTTGCACCAACAATTGGTATCTAGAGCTCCGGTTCTGATTCATTGGGAAACACGGGAAACACGAGTGAACGTGAGGTCTTGTGTGATTGATTTTGTTTCTTAGATTCACGTTGAATCTTGAACAAAATCTGATCAGAATTTTTAAAATTCTGTGGGTTGGGAAACACTGTGTGAGAAAACTCTGAGTGTATTGTGCAAAGAAGAAGATGAACGGAAACGGCAACATGAACACCAAACTTCCAGTATTTGATGGTAAAAACTGGAATCGTTGGATGATCCAGATGCGCGTACTGTTTGGTGCTCAAGATGTTCTGGATCTTGTCACTGATGGTTATGTTCCAGTAGCAGCAGATGCAACTGATGAACAGAAAAACGCGCAGAAGGAAGTAAGGAAGAAGGATCAGAAAGCATTATTCTTTATTCATCAATGTGTTGATGTAAATGTGTTTGAGAAGATTGCAGACTCTACAACAGCAAAGGCTGCATGGGACACTCTGGTGAGATGTTATGGTGGTGACGCATCAGTGAAGAAGGTGAAGCTTCAGTCCTTGAGAAAGCAATATGAGAATCTCAACATGAAGAATAATGAGAAAGTTTCTGAATACATCTCCAGAGTGATTCTGATCACTAATGAGATGAAGGCATGTGGAGAAACTCTTTCTGAAGAAACAATCATGGAGAAAGTATTGAGATCCCTTACTCCTCAATTTGATTACATTGTGGTAGCAATAGAACATTCCAAAGATCTGAGCACAATGAGAATTGAAGAGCTGCAGAGCAGTCTAGAAGCGCAAGAGTTGCGTCTGACTGAGAGAAACTCTGAAAAGGAAGTAGAACAGCAGGCTCTGAAAGCAACTTCTGATAGGAGGTATCAGAAGCAGTCAGAAGCCAGGAGAAGATCTGATGGTGATCAGAAGTCAGAAAGCTCAACCTCTGATAGACAAAAGAATGCTCAGAGGGGAAAAGAGAAGTATGACAAAAGAAAAATACAATGTTACTGTTGTAAGAAGTTTGGCCATTTTGCTAGAGATTGTTGGTCAAACAAGGAGAAGAAATCAGAAGAAGCAAATATAGCCAGAGGCTCTGATGACGAATCTGTGCTGTTGATGGCCTCTGAATCTGATAATGTGGATCTGACAGACTGGTGGTATATGGAAACTGGCTGTTCAAATCATCTTACTGGAAACAAGAAATGGCTGGTTGACTTTGACTCTGAAAAGAGAACAAAGATCAGATGTGCTGATGACAAATATCTTAATGCAGAAGGTATGGGAAATGTCAGAGTGACTCTGAACAATGGGAAAATAGCATTGATTCAGAATGTGTGGTATGTACCTGGCATCAGAAGCAATCTGATGAGTGTGGGGCAATTAATTGAGAAAGGTTTCTCAGTTACCATGAAGGACAATCTTCTGAAGCTGTATGATTGTAATCAGAAGTTGATTATGGAGTCAGAACAGGGAAGGAATAGAACATTCAAGGTGAATGTCAGAACTGCAGACTCAGAGTGTCTTAGTGCAACAAGTACTGAGAAGAAGAGTGAGCTGTGGCACAGAAGATTTGGTCATTTGAATTTCAGAAGCTTACAACATCTTAATTCAAAGAAATTGGTACATGGAATTCCTGCAATTAAGAAGCCTGAAAAGTCATGCAAAGTTTGCATGGAAGGAAAACAACCAAGATTGCCATTTGCATCAGAAGTTGCTCCAAGAGCAAAACATGCCTTGGGAGTTGTACACTCTGATGTGTGTGGTCCATTTCCAGTAGCATCAATTGGAGGGAATAAATACTTTGTGTTATTTGTTGATGAATTCACAAGAATGACATGGGTATCCCTTATTAAGTTCAAACACGAGGTGTTTGATGAATTCAAGAAGTTCAGAATGAAGGTTGAGAATCAGAGTGGTCAGAAGTTGAAGATTCTTAGAACTGATGGTGGAGGTGAGTATAACTCCAAAGAGTTCCAGAAGTTCTGTGAGGAGAATGGAATTGAGCATGAGGTTACTGCTCCTTATACCCCTCAACACAATGGTCTTGCTGAAAGAAGAAACCGTACTTTGCTTGATATGGTGAGAAGCATGCTAAAGGAGAAGAAGCTTCCTCAGAAGCTCTGGGGAGAAGCTGTTGCCACTGCAACGTATGTACTCAACAGATGTCCTACGAAGAAGTTGAAGGAAATAGTTCCTATGCAGAAGTGGACTGGAGACAAGCAAAGTGTTAGTCATCTGAAGGTATTTGGTTCTGTTTGCTATAAACATGTTCCAGAAGCCAGAAGACAGAAGCTGGATGATAGAAGCAAAGTGATGATTCTGATAGGGCACCACAGTACAGGTGCATACAAGCTCTATTGTCCAGAAACCAATAAAATTGAATTCAGCAGAGATGTGATTGTGAAGGAATCAGAAGTTTG